AATAAGATTAAAAAAAAAAAGGAAAAACAGAAAAAAAGGAAAACGGAGAGAGAAAAAACATTCATGGCCATTTAAGGTCAATTTGGAAATATTTCACATCGAGTTTTTGCTTTCTTTCTGTCCTTTCTTCGGTGAAAAAAAGGCTTTTTCTGGCTTATTTTCTAATGCTCTTGCCTTGACGTATACGCTCTTTTCCCAGATGCGATAAAGTGATATGATGAAAGGAACAAGAACTACTGCAGCACCTTAGAGCAGAGGTCAAAGTTCAGTTCTGACTCTGGATTCCTTGGGTCACTTCCTTTGTAGAAGAAGGTGCTTCCACTACGTAATGGGCCTCATACCTTTTCGGAGTGTTGGTCTGAATAAGTTCCTACTGTGTTACTGTTGGGCGCCGCGAGTGAACTGGAGTTGAAGAGGAGTTCTACAAGGGAGCCGGTGGGGGGGGTAGGGGAGGGGAGGGAGGGGGGGGGGGGGGCAGTCGGACTGAGGGCAGGGTTATCATTAGCAGATTCTTCTCGGGAAACTGCGTCCGGAGTGAAGGAGTGTGCGTGTAGTGTGCAGGTTGCCCTGGTTGCTACAGCTTCATTTGCAATAACCTTTGAAATGAAAAGGAGTGGCTTGAGGGACGAGGAAAAGAGAGAAATGGAAGGAAATAAGACTACGCACATATTACACTGTGTGTGTCTGTTTAGAGAGAAAGAGGGAGGGAGGGAGAGGGGAGGGATGGGGAGAGAGAGAGAGAGGAGGTGGAGGGATGGGGAGGGAGGGAGGGAGAGAGAGAGAGAGAGAGAGAGAGAGAGAGAGAGAGAGAGAGAGAGAGAGAGAGAGAGAGAGAGAGAGAGAGAGAGAAGAGAGAGAGGGAGGGAGAGGGGGGGGAGAGGGAGAGAGAGAGAGAAAGGGGAATGTGAATGTTTTGCAATGCAATATGGTTGTGAAATTTGAATGGCGAAGGGGAAAGGGCTAGATATCGAAAATGGGAAGGGAAAAGGAGAGTAAAACGTGCAAGAGAAAGACACGAGGATGAAGGGGAAAAGAGAGTCTTGAAATAAACTGAAAGTTGGGTGACATTACTGCAAGCAAAGACATGGAGATCAGAAAAAATCCAGTTATACAAATATATATATATATATATATATATATATATATATATATATATATATATATATATATATATATATATATATATTTAAAAAGTCTTCCAATGGCAAAGGCGGATTGAGGGACAGAAAAATTATGTTTGAGAGAAAGAGAGAGAGAGAGAGAGAGAGAGAGAGAGAGAGAGAGAGAGAGAGACAGAGAGAGAAAGAGAGAGAGGGTGAGAGAGAGAAAGTAACGGGAGAGGGAGAGAGTGAGAGAGAGAGAGACAGACAGATAGACAGACAGAGAGAAAGAGACGGAACGAGAGACAGAGAGAGAGAGAGACAGATAGACAGACAGACAGACAGAGACGGAAAGAGAGACAGAGAGAGAAACGGAAAGAGAAAGAGAGTAAGAAAATAACGAGAAAGAAATACATTTCTCTTCCTAGACATAAAAAACATCACTTTTTTCCTACCTTCCCCCTTAATTTAACTCCTTTGGATTAGGTTTAACGTGTCCCCTGTGTCTTCCATGCGCGCAGGAGAGGCTCGGGAAGACACCATAACTCTCCCGGGATTATTTTATTTCCGCTGACTGCCCTTTCAAGACAATTTCTCAAGAGATACTATATATTCTATGGCATCTTCACGTTATACACACACACACACACACACACACACACACACACACACACACACACACACACACACACATATATATATATATATATATATATATATATATATATATATATACGTATACCGACACATGCACACACACACACACATATACACATATATACTCATACATACACACACGCACACACACACATATATATATATATACATATATATGTATATATATATATATATATATATATATATATATATATATATATATATATATATATATATATATGCACACACACACACACACACACACACACACACACACACACACACACACACACACACACACACACACACATATATATATTGTAAGGTATACTCCTAGCTCAAGGCCAGGTACCATCCGTACAGAGGAGCCCAAATTAAAATCTCCCGTGAGGCAGGAGAGGCTTAAGGACCAGATGAACATTGAAACTAGGGGTCCCGTTCACTCCTCTTAAGATAAGGCAGTAATACTCCTTTTGAAGGTCTAGCATTGCTGCTTTTATCGTTCCTAGTGTCCTTCCACTGTAGTGATAGTAGCGATAGTAGTAGCCATAGCAGTAGTGATAACAGTAGTGGTAGCACGAGCAATAGCAGTAGTAGTACGAGCGGTAGGCATAGAAGCGATAGAAGATACCGATAGCTCAGTAAAAGTATAAAAAGTATGGTAAAGGTAGAGTAAAAGAATCAGTAAAAAAATCAGTAAAAGAGTAAAAGTAGAGTAAAAAGGTCAGTAAAAGTATAGTAAAAGCAGAGTAAAAAAAGGGATCAGTAAAAGTATAGTAAAAGTATAAGTAAGAAAAGTAAATGTTCAGTAAAAATAACCGTAAATAAAAGGCAAACACTTGATACATATATACACCGTTCAAAAACTTAAGAAAGACAAAATAAAAAGCAGAAAGGACTAGTACTTAAAATGAGCATCACTGGATTTAGGCTTTACGTTATTTGAACTGATCAATGTAAAATATTCTGTGAATTGCCTTCAAGTATGCTTAACACGTCCAGCAAAAAACCTAGGCAAGTGAACGAGAGCCAGTAAAACCTTTGGTGTAGATTCGCAGCGAAAGAGGGGGTTGTGGCACAAACAAAGTTCCAGTTGACACTGTTATTCGTTGCGTCCCCGGGAACTCGAGAACTCGTGACGTCACAACATAGTGAATCATTTTTCTTAATAAAAACAAATAAAATCAAATAAAATACATAATGTCATGGAAATGATACATACAACATAAAAATACCAAAATCATTAATAAAAGCCATAAAAACGTGAACTCAAAGAGTTTATGAATAAACTAAAACATACTAAGATCATAAAACAGTAAGATTAAAACTCGTGAATTTGAAAAACGTTCATTAATAAAATAAGATGATTAAAGAGATCATTACTACAAGAAAAATCATTAATTCAAAAAAAATAAATAAAAACAGTGAATATTCAAATGTGCAGTGTCACGTCACGAACTGAGAAATCGTAAAAAAATAGATAGCCGTAAAACACGACCTTAAAATAATACAAAACGAAATAAAATACAAATCAGACATATGAACTAAAACTAGAAACAGTAAAACAAACAAATACAATTAATGAAATAAAAGCGAAAAAAAAATAAAAGAAAACGGGATGGGGGGGTGAGCTATAAGAATCTCGCGCAGGTGATACAGATATGTACAGGTGTGTATGTGGAGTGACAACTGGAGTGCCACGCCCCCTCTAGGTGAATGGTACATTCCACAATATATATATATATATATGTGTGTGTGTGTGTGTGTGTGTGTGTGGGTGGGTGGGTGGGTGCATGTGTGTGTGTGTGTGGGTGGGTGGGTGGGTGCATGTGTGTGTGTGTGTATAAGTGTGTGTGTGTGTGTATAAGTGTGTGTGTGTGTGTTTGTGTGTGTGTGTGTATTTGTATGTGTGTGTGTGTTTGTATGTGCGTGTGTGTGTGTGTGTTTGTATGTGTGTGTGTGTGTGTTCGTGTGTGTGTGTGTGTTCGTGTGTGTGTGTGTGTGTTCGTGTGTGTGTGTGTTATTTTGTGTGTGTGTGTTTATCTTGTATATATATGTGTGTATGTATGTATGTATGTATGTTTGCGTGTGTGTGTGTGTGTGTGTGTGTGTGTGTGTGTGTGTGTGTGTGTGTGTGTGTGTGTGTGTGTGTGTGTGTTTGTGTGTGTTTGTGTGTGTGGGTGTGTGTGTGGTTGTGTGTGTGTGTGTGTGTGTGTGTGTGTGTGTGTGTGTGTGTGTGTGTGTGTGTGTGTGTGTGTGTGTGTGTGTGTGTGTGTGTGTGTGTGTCTATATATATATAAATATATATATATATATATATATATATATATATATATATATATATATATATATATACACACACACATACATACATACCTATATGTGTGTGTGTGTGTATGTTTGAATGTCTGTATGCATATATGAATATTGAAGATTTCGACCAGCAATATTAAATAATAAATAAGAAAGTAGATCTAACTGTAAATCATTCAAAATAAATGAAGTGCATAATAAAGAGCAGAGAAAATCAGATTATTTAACATAAAATGCAAATATCGGCCCTGGTTTGTGTCCCCCTCATCTACATAGTGCCAGCCAACCAGTGCACCTATAGAGCTATGCTTTGTGAGTTTCCAGCCCTGACGAAACTCATCAACATTGCAACAACACCGCCCCATACTGTCACATTTCACATCGTCACGTCTAGACCTCTGGTTTACTCCCGTTGCAGACCCCCCACTCCAGACCATTTCTGCATCACCATGGCAGAGTTTGAACACATGAGGGAGTAATGAATCATATGCCCTTCCAGCAGCTAGTGGGCATCTCCCTTGTGTCTACTACGGAAGAAGGCCGGCGAATGGCGTCCTTGTGGTGATTATCACCATCTCAACACAGCTACCACTCTCGATCACTACCCCCTCCAACACGTCAATTCCCTAATACACAAACTCTCGGGGTGCACATTTTTCTCCAAAATCGACCTTGTCAGAGCGCACCATTAGATACCCATCGCCAAGGACATTCCAAAGAAGGTTGTAACCACCCTTCTACGAATGACGTTCGGCCTCCACAACGTCGCCCAGATACCTCTACGCCCTGTTCAGAAAAGCCGAAAGCCGAAGTCGTCATTAATCCTGGTAAGAGTCTCTTCGGAGTCACCTCTCTTAATTTTCTAGGCTTTGATGGCATCACCTTAGTTCTGGAAAAGGTCAGCAAAGCTTCCACATCTTGACAGATCACATGCCCCTCACCTTCGCCCTGTACAACAGGACCTGCCGTCAGTCCCCACATGAAGACAGGCACCTGGATTTCGTGCCCCAGTTCACCACTAACATACAGCACATCCAAGGTACCAACAATCAGGCTGCGGACGCCCTATCCAGAATATCGATAGCCATGGTAAGTGCCAGCAACAGCCCTATCAACTTCCATCTAATTGGCAGGGAGCAGCAACAGAACATTTCTCTCTCCAAACTTACCGACACCATTCTCTGCTACACCTCGCTGGGCCGACCTCGTCCTTACATCCCGCTATCACTCAACTGGCAGTTTTTCAAGGCTTACATGCTCATCAGGGAATCCGCGCAACTGAGGACCTTATCCGCGGCAAAGTCGTAAGGCTTGGCATCAATAGAAACGTCAAGAAGTGGAGACACACCTGCATCGAGTGCCAGTGCAGTAAAGGTCACCGGCACACTAAGTCTCCCCCACAGATTCCTCGAACCAGACGGCCGCTTCGAACATGTTCACCTTGATGTGGTCAGTCCTCTCCCAGACGACCAGGGTTACAGCTACGTCCTGACGATGATTAATCAGTTTACCAGGTGGCCTGAGGCCATGTCCATCTAGGATATCACTACCGCCACCATTCCCAAGACCTTCATCACCACCTGGATATCTCGCTGTGGAACTTCTACAATGGTCACAACCAATCGTGGTTCTCAGTTCAAGTCTGAGCTCTGGAGACAAGATTTTTCTCGATTCGAAGTGCATCTGGACCATGACAACAGCATGGTGAAGTGCCTGCACCGCCAATATAAAGAAGCCATCATAGGATCTTCATCCACTTCATAGTTAGCTCCGGAGGCCTGGTCCCAAAATCATTCGGAAGACAGCTCCTCGACTGTATGGCCTACATCTGCTTTCATCCTACTAGACCTTCACGACAATAAGACATTTACTAACCCTGTGACCTTCAGGATTGGTCACGTTTTCGTCAGGCGCCCCACCAAGCCACCCCTTTGCCCACTCTACGAGGGACCTGTTTTCCTGTTATCAAGCAGGACAGTAAAGCTATCACCATCTGGCGTCGGCGAGGAGATGACACTGTCAGCATCGACCGTGTGAAGCCAGTGTATCTCCAAGAACAATGCAGAATCTTGAAGGTTTGTTTCGTGACCACTACACTGGAAGGGGAGTGCTGTGGTGAGCACCTCACGACAAGCTTGCACACACGATTGAGGCAGGCTTATGCTGTCTGGCGATTCAGCTCCTGACAATCACTGCAAAGCTTCCTGGACCTGACCTGAGAGTATTTTCGGTGTGTTTAAGATGCTGTTGGTAATTTTATATCACAATTTCATCTTGAAACAGAAGCATCCATTCCCGAAAATAGCAAATCATGGAAGCAACCACTTTGGAATTCCAGCCAATGGAGTGAAGAGATGGGGAATTAAACATGCAAACTGGGTTTGTTTGTTTTTAGATCAACTGCAGTAATGCAGAGATCTGTGAGTGATTTTCAGTGTGTTCAAAAAGCATCCATTCCCGAAAATAGCAAATCATGGAAGCAACCACTTTGGAATTCCAGCCAATGGAGTGAAGAGATGGGGAATTAAACATGCAAACTGGGTTTGTTTGTTTTTAGATCAACTGCAGTAATGCAGAGATCTGTGAGTGATTTTCAGTGCGTTCAAGATGCTGATGATCAATTTACATCACGAATTCATTTTGCAACAGAAGCATCCATTCCCGAAAATAGCAAATCATGGAAGCAACCACTTTGGAATTCCAGCCAATGGAGTGAAGAGATGGGGAATTAAACATGCAAACTGGGTTTGTTTGTTTTTAGATCAACTGCAGTAATGCAGAGATCTGTGAGTGATTTTCAGTGCGTTCAAGATGCTGATGATCAATTTACATCACGAATTCATTTTGCAACAGAAGCATCCATTCCCGAAAATAGCAAATCATGGAAGCAACCACTTTGGAATTCCAGCCAATGGAGTGAAGAGATGGGGAATTAAACATGCAAACTGGGTTTGTTTGTTTTTAGATCAACTGCAGTAATGCAGAGATCTGTGAGTGATTTTCAGTGTGTTCAAGATGCTGATGATCAATTTACATCACGAATTCATTTTGCAACAGAAGCATCCATTCCCGAAAATAGCAAATCATGGAAGCAACCACTTTGGAATTCCAGCCAATGGAGTGAAGAGATGGGGAATTAAACATGCAAACTGGGTTTGTTTGTTTTTAGATCAACTGCAGTAATGCAGAGATCTGTGAGTGATTTTCAGTGTGTTTAAGATGCTGTTGGTAATTTTATATCACAATTTCATCTTGAAACAGAAGCATCCATTCCCGAAAATAGCAAATCATGGAAGCAACCACTTTGGAATTCCAGCCAATGGAGTGAAGAGATGGGGAATTAAACATGCAAACTGGGTTTGTTTGTTTTTAGATCAACTGCAGTAATGCAGAGATCTGTGAGTGATTTTCAGTGTGTTCAAGATGCTGATGATCAATTTACATCTAGATCAACTGCAGTAATGCAGAGATCTGTGAGTGATTTTCAGTGCGTTCAAGATGCTGATGATCAATTTACATCACGAATTCATTTTGCAACAGAAGCATCCATTCCTGGAAGTAGGGGGCAGTATCATCAACCTCCAGTACTGCGGTGGTCTGATGAATGCCAACAAGCTGTCAGAGCACTAAAGCAGCTGAAGCAACACCCCAGCAATGTGGCCTTGCTCCATTACAAAAGGACCTGAGCCAAGACTAGGATAGTGCTAAAGGAGGATAGACAGACGTCATGTCTCCTCAGTTAACTCTGGGACCCCTTTATCATGGGTAAAGGACAAGGTACATAAGATTGCTGAAAAGATCACATTTTTATCATCACCTGCTTGCTCTGAAGGGAGAGCTCCTAAAAGTTCCTGTTGGACCTATTAGGATAGTTAGGGTGAGCACAATGCCATCCACATGGAAGGATAATCATTCATATGCTTCTTGGCCAGAATTCCTTTGCACAACGGACAATACTACTTGGAAGCATGGTATATATTATGAAGCTGTATGAGTGCAGATGGGAAACAGCTTCACTAACCTGGAGAATCAGCTGGAAGGGGTCCCACAAGGGAGTGTCTTAAGTGTGACTCAGTTTGCCATTGCTATAAATGACACTATAAAGGATATTCCAAAAGCTGTCTCATGTACACTGTTCTGCTCAGGAGGAAGCTGTGCAAGGACACATACTGTCACACAGTCATCATGTCGCTCAGTGGATTCTAATTCTCTCCATGTAAAACCATGGCTATGCATTTCCACAAAAGAGGAAAGTTTCATCCTATCCTTTATCTAGGAAACACATTGCCATTTTGTCTGAGGTGAAGTACTTGGGGTCTAATTTTTGACTCAAGGCTTATGTGAGTGCCTCACATCAAATAGTTAAAGGTAAAGGCTACAAAGACGCCACCAAACACTGTCTTGGGGTGAAGACCGCAGATTCTTGCTGCTATACTTTACTATGGGTGTGAGGCTTATGCATCTGCAACTCTCATTGTTCTCCGGATGTTGGGCTCAGTTCATAATGTACAGGGGCTTCATCTATCATCTACTTTCATTACACCAGGACTACATGAACTTGGTTTACTACACGAGAGTACATAGGATTCCGGGATCTACAGCCAGATTGGTTTTCAATCCTCTTGAGGAAAGCTGATCCTATGGAAGAATGAGAAATCTTATGGAAGTTTACAATTTGAATCTCTCCAAAGTTTTAAAGCAAAAATCAGAGATTCCTACAACACACTTTTCAGTGAAAATGGTGTTGGCTTTGCAGCAGTGAGCAGGAGGAAATCTGCAGTCTTTCTTTAGCAGCCTCGATCTTCACTGCAGTTAAATGACTAGAGATCTTGGGAACCTTTCCGTTGTAATATATTGCAACTCTCGTATAGCTTAATCTCATCACATCAGTGCTAAGAGAGGTTTAAGATCACCTTGAAAAGATGACCGTGTTGGGTGCAAGTGTATGTTGGTATCCATTGGAATGGCGAGCTGATAATTGTATATTCAGCAAATTTTTTTTGTAACATATATGATTATATTTTCTGTAATTAAGATGTAATTTAGTGTGGGGAAGTGCCAATCAAGATACTAAGCATGGAGAACTTTGCGCCAGTATGCAGCAAGTGTTGCAAAAAAAGAGAGACAAGAATGTAATCAACAAAACTCTGGTTTCATTTTTTTAAGTCATTCACCCAACTCGTATCGAAAATTTTCTTTAAATCATTGATAGATACAATTATTTAAAATGCAAATATACACTATAATGATGATGCAAGCATGTAAAGGGAGGAATGTAGCCATTACTCAAACTGTAGGGACCAGGAATGCCTTCAGAAGTTCTATTTATCAAATCTGTCACTTCACCATAGCTTATAAATGGGTCCAGACCCAGACGTTGCATGTTGCATATCACCTCCAAGCTACTTCATATATATTTTCTCGATAAAATCTTGTTCTGTTACATCGCCAACAGTGGAGCCGGACGAATGTGATCAGGAAGAATATTTTTCTCATCTGAGAAAATCACAAAAATCTAGTCCCACTAGAGGCTCTCTCAGCAGTATTTTGCTTAGTGGAGTGAGACAATTCATACCTAATTTCTCTTTAAGCAACTTCATTTGCTACTGGTGTGAGGAGAAATGTAAGCAGGTTATAAGCTAAGTCACCTATAAAATGATGCCCTTCTAAGAGATCATGTTGTAGATCAAGAAATAGTCCACTGGTACCAAATAAATGGACAAAGTGACAGGCTGTGGAATAGCCCCACCAAATTCATAGTTTTAAGGGGTGTCAGAGTCACGAGGCACCTTTCCCCCATGGGAGGCTAATATAGGCAGCAAGCGTGCTCCCTTCTGTGCTGATAGCTGTTTGATTGGTTTCAAATAATCCTTTTGGGATTATGAGGGTGACAGATTTTTATTCATTTGTTTTCTAAGGTCATGTATAGTATGCACCTATCGTTTTCTGTGTGTATCGTTTTCTGTGTGTAGTAATGTTCTCGACCATCAAGAGTGTTTAGTTTTTCTATGAATATGTAATGTTCGTCTTCTTCTTTAATTAGTTAACCCAGGTGTTTTTATCTTTTTATTGTATGTTTAGCAATAGTTCAACATAGATGCCACCAATGCAGTTGTCAGGTCTTGCCCCGTTGAAATCTTGGGATTTGAGTGGATTTGGCACTAGAGTGGAGAAGAGAACTTCCAGAATTATTATATGATTATAACCTATTAAACATCGTGGCCCAACATCAGCCAACTAATCAATCCCTAACACTAGTGACATCCATCCATTCAAGCAACCCAGTAGAGACACTTCTGCCAACCACATTTTTCAGCTTTCATTTGAAACTTTAAAAGCCATTATGAAGCAGTCACTTAATACCTCTTCTGTAACTAATACTGAAAGCTATATTAAAGTCCACTAAATCTATATTTTGTTTTTGATATTCAAAGCTAGTGCAATTATAGTTACTAAAATATGTAAGTATTTATAGTTACTGAAAGCTGAGATTTTAAGTCGCCTAGTCTTTGTTACATATAAAAAGCTATAAAGGCTGT